TCAAAACATTTACCTGTTTCCGAATTTGGACATCGATTAGCAGAAGCAGTTATATTTTAATCTCAGACTACCCGCAACTAAACATTATCACTGAATACCTATGAACGCGATTACTCGCATGTTATTCGATTCCGGAAGGTCGTCAGATTCTTGAGCATCTTTAAGGAAAAGGTTGCATCACCATTCGGATAGTGCGATCGTCTCTCCACCGTACGTAGTATGCTAAGCGTAGTCGGCACATGAACAGGTATGTAGCCCACCTGTGAAGACATTCGAAAGTGGTTGGATTTTTTTTCATTTCATGGCGTTTACGATACCTTACCGTTCATTGTTAAGGTATGCGCTATTTAAGCATGAGTTATTCACCTGTGACCACACAACGCAGCTAGACGCTCATTCAATGCAACAGGCCATTATTGCGTCTTTAAGTCCTCTGGCAGCCAAGCGCCACACATTTCTACAGAATGCTCTCCCACTTTTTATATTTGTTTTTTCCTCTGGGTAGGGCATCGCAATACTGTTCATAGCGTAAAACTGCTCGCTCTGAAGGCATCATCTCGGTAAGCTGCCTCAAACCTTTGAATGCAGTATGCACAGAACGCCATTTGTTCATTGTCTATGCCAGAGGACGCTAAGAACCAGCCATTTCATGAGTGGTTGAGTAAGTATTGCCTGCCATGCCTACAAATCGGTTGAAAGGACGGCTTTCCCACCAAAGTACGCATGAATAAAGAGGACAGACCTTTTGTTTTCACGTGCCAGGCCAAACTTAGCGGGTGTTGCACCAAAATGTGACGCACGGGGATGCAAAATAACTACTCCACGGGGCGTTGCGGAGTGAGTCGGCCCACTACAAAGTGTTACAGTGATCCCAGAAGTCTTTTATATGTCACAGGTATATCCGAGAAGTCTTTTGTCATTCTTTACCCCTTTACTGGTGTTAAATCTGCAACGGAGATTCATCTCTCTTTCTCTTTGCCATCTCTTTGATCCTGGAACTTACGAAGACATTTTTCGACCCTTCAAAAGACACTTATAGGATTGCCGCATGACACTCCAAAAATTATCACATGGAAAACACCACTCGAGGATCGCCCAATGACCGTTCCAAGATCATAGTAGGAGCATGGAAAACACAGCACTGCCAAAAGAGTACAATAGGCTGATGGGAAATAAGGAGAGTTACACTGAAATCTCATTAAGCCTACTTTAGAGTGTTTTGTCTTTTGTTTTTGACATGAATTAGGCACCACACAAGTCTTCTTTCGGGCCAGCAGCTACGCTGACTACGATCAGTCTGTTCACAGGCGGGATGGGGAGGCTAGAGCTACGCCTCGGCACTAGTTAGGCCAGCCACGACCTATGTGCTCCGGCGACAAGGACCGACACGCAGTTTTAGGCGAGATCTGCGGTTACTCTGGCATAGTATTACTTTGGCATTTTGGTGGCTACGCTGGCTCTGGTGAACCCGGCCACAGCGTCGGCAAAGTAAGGCCGGTGATCACTGTGGCTCTGGTGACCCCGGCCACAGTGTCAGCAAAGTAAGGCCGGTGGCTACGCTGGCTCTGGTGACCCCGGCCACAGTGTCAGCAAAGTAAGGGCCGGTGGCTACGTTGGCTCTGGTGACCCCGGCTATAATGTCGGCATAGTAGGGCCGGTGGCTACGCTGGCTCTGGTGACCCCGGCCAAAGCGCCGGCAAAGCAAGGCCGGTGAACACTCTGGCTCTGGCAACACCGGCCACAGAGTCCGCTCTGTGCAGACTGCCGCTGCAGTGGTCCTGCTGGATTTGCAGCTATAGCAGCAAAATGGGTGGATCCTGGTGGCTCTTCCGTTGTGCGTTATGGCCATGGTATTCGCTTTTGTCATGGGATGGGTCTCGCCAGAGCGTGGATTCCTGGCTGGCTCCGGTGAGCCCGACCCGCTTCGTATTATATTCTGATCGATTCTGGCCAGGCCTGATATATATATATATATATATATATATATATATATATATACATTCTTAATATAATGCATATATAGATGTAGCGTGTCATTTAGACCGTGTTACACGAAGTGGCGCTGTCCCGTAACATATAAGCCTCTCCGGAAGTCTACACATTTCAGTAGTCCTCCAGAACAAAATTGTGTTTGCGGTATAGCGTCCAGAAAAAACCCTTCATTCATTCCAGACTGCCTATCACCATCGAATACAAAAGTGCTCCCGGATTTCCCACATCAAGCAAATGCCCTCAGAGGTCGACGGTATTTCAGCTTCGGCTATGGTCTGGTCTTTCCATCTTGCCATCATTAGCCGTGCTTGAAAGCACCGTTCGTGACACTAAGCCTTCTTACGTGCAAATTACGGGATTGCCCAGAATTATGCGAGACAGATTGAAACCAAACCCACCAACCCACAGCTGCTATCACGATGGTTACAGTGTCGTCAGGGACTGTAAACGTCTGTAGTGTCATCAAGAATAGAGAACGATGGATACGCAACTGAATCTGGAAATATTTTAACGAATATAAGTATTGAGTTCAGCGGAGACACCACTCAAGCCCAGCGTCATTATACAGACATCACTGCATCTCCACAATGCTGTCACGGAGTAACGCTGCGCCTCCTCATCGTCGTTTTGCAACCGTCACAGCATCCCGAAATATCTCCACCGCGTCCTTCGGAGCCATCACTGACCCCACAGTCGTCCATGGAGCCATCCAGTACAACGCAACCACACGTGGCCATCACAGAGGCTTCACCTCATCTCTACAGCGGCGGCGGGGCTGGTGGCGCCTCCGCAGCAGGGCGAGAGTTCGGGGGTCCTGAGCCGGCCAGCGGCTGGCGGCGGCCGTCCACCTCCTCCGCCTTTGTCCGACCCCGGTGCCGGCCTGGCCCGGACAAGCGTCAGCACCGGCCGGCGGCCTTCGTGTTTTCCAGCGGGCGTTCCGGGGACTCGGCCGCCGGCCCCAGCAGCTGTTCCGCCATGGCCGGCAGCCACGTTACACGGGAGGGGGCGGAGAGCGGCGACTACCGGCTACTGCAAGCTCCGATAGTATGCTGCTTGTCAATAAACCAGTGGGTGCTATCATGAGCACGACTATTTCCGGTTTGTAATCATCTCAGATGATGAATTGCATGCGCATAAACTGTTATTAATAAGACCCAAACTGAAAACCTGTACTTTAAAGGCTCAGACCAGCCTCAGCTTGCAAAAATAGCATTATGGCTACGGCGAACCTCAAGCCATTTCCGTCCGAAGGGACTCTGTCGTCGTACCCCTCCTTCATCCTCCGCCTCGTTTTGAGACAAATCTCGAGTCACGGATTTAGGAATTGTGCAAAGTAGTTTGATTTATTATTTATACTCATCTATTTTGAGGAAAAAGAGCCAACAAATTTGACACATTCAAAGAACTGCCATGCAAAAGCACGGAGCCTAAACATTCTGGTTTGACCTGCCGGCGTTATACGCGACTTACTTTTACAGCGCTCAATACTCAGGCATGAGCAAAGAGATCATACATGTTGAGTTATTGACAACTGACAGAACGGCAACTTCAGTTAGCCATGGAAAAGGTGCACCGGACCGTGCTCTCAGGAACGGCAACTCCAGTTGTCATATGACAGTTGTCACCTGGTCTGCTGAGAGCCAGGTACCTCCAGTTGTCATATGACAGTTTGTCACCTGGTCTGCTGAGAGCCAGGTACCTCCAGTTGTCATATGACAGTTGTCACCTGGCCTGCTGAGAGCCAGGTACCTCCAGTTGTCATATGACAGGTGTCACCTGGCCTGCTGAGAGCCAGGTACCTCCAGTTGTCATATGACATGTGTCACCTGGCCTGCTGAGAGCCAGGTACCTTCAGTTGTCATATGACAGTTGTCACCTGGTCTGCTGAGAGCCAGGTACCTCCAGTTGTCATATGACAGTTGTCACCTGTTCGCTGCTGAGGAGCCAGGTACCCCCAGTTGTCATATGACAGGTGTCACTTGGCCCTGCTGAGAACCAGGTAGCTCCAGTTGTCATATGCACATTGTGTCACCTGCCTAGCTGAGACGCACAGTACCTCAGTTGTCATATGGCATGTTTCACCTGGCCTGCTGAGAGCCAGGTACCCCCACAGTTTGTCATATGACAGGTGTCCATCTTGACTCTTGCTGAGAGCCAGGGCAGCTGCAGCCCTTCGCCGCCGTCCCGCTCCCGCGACGCGGCAGCGCTGCGACACGCGCAGCTTCTCTGTGGCAAGCGCAGCGCCCGCACGGAAAGGGCGCATCACGCGAGGGCCCGCGCCGCAAACGCACGTGTGCCGCCTCCCCCGTGGTGGCTGAACTCCGCTCGACCGGACTGGCGCTGTGGCGCATCCATCCGCAGCGCAGCTCCAGGGGCGGAACGGCGCTGCATAAGATCAAGGCAGAATGTCAGGCCAAAACGCCAAATGCGGTGACTCGTCCGCGCTGGATTTTACGCGGGTTTGGCTGGTTCAGCGCCATTTTGCAATTGGGCTCATCTCATCAGTTGGGCTTCTCGTCACAAGCTTCGGGCAGCCTGGCGGGACTTCCCAAAAAAGCCGACGTCACACAAAGACAGCTTATTTGCATCCGGGTAGCCCAGCGGGGTGAAAATGGCGGGGGGAAGCACAGAGCCAGCGAGCAAATAGCGATCCAGCCGACCTCAGCAGTCATCACATGAGCATGATGAGTACGTTCATTATGCAGAAACTGCTATCATCCCACCCACTGTTGGTGAGGTCGGGATCTAGTAGCCCTTGGATGAATCTCTATACAATAGTGCGGCCGAAGCGCACACGCCATCATGCGCTACGCGTGCGCGCCACAGTTTTACAAACGTAAACGTCTTCATTCCGTAAACAGTGTGGATGCGCGACCTACAAGCCTGGTCTCCGCCGAGCCAACAACCTCCCACCGTCTCTGCCTGCCGCTCACGCCGAAAGGCCGGCCTGTACGGGCGCCCAGCGCCCGCTGACGGCCACCACCAGCTCTGCTCGCAGGGCAGCTTACTTTGCGGTCCAGCATCGCTGAGCTCCAGGCCAACCACGAGCGCCACTGCGAGGACCCGCCACATCGCGCCGGTTCTGCCGGCGGTGCTGGCCGCAGACTGCGGGTTGGCTGAGCTAGCCGGGCTGGCCGGCCGGCCCCAGGTCGGCCGCCGAGAGCAGCCGCCACTTACGGAACGACTGAGGGACGCGCGGCCAGAGGCCACCGGTGTTGGGCTGACTGCGGCTCTCGTGCCGCCGCTGCTCAGGGAACTAACTGAGGCGCACTGCTGCTTCTGAAGGCTGCTGGAAGTGACTCGGATCTTCGCCTGATCTCTGCTTGCCCTTTGTTTGCCAATATTTATTGCATAAGGTCATCGTCAGGAAATGGCTCGTTTTTTGCTGATGTTCTCTGTCCCTCTTCCCACCGTTCTTTGGTGACTACGATGCAGATTGGAGAGGCTGGGGCTGTGGAAGGGAAAGGTTGGTTATAACAATTTTTGCAAACACTGTTCGACATTGATATCTCCATGCGGCCATCAGGGAGAAATAGCAAAGATGTGTGAACGTAGTGCTGCAATAGCATCGTGGACCTCGCATGCAACCCAGCTGTGTCATCTGAGCCGGTTTTTTCTGCAGGCATTTCAATATGGCCATTGATGAGCGTTATATGAATGCCATTTGAAATTCCACGTCAGTGCCCTCCCCTCCGCCTCAACCCGGGTTGTTGCGACATGGTAGTAACACGAAAGTACCGAGGAGAAACCATCATTTGACGTAAATGCAGCGGGTTACTCTTCCTCGAGTGCAAAACCACGAATCCTCCAGTTCTCGGCTTTTTACGGTTGGCGTTAGACATCAGCCATCGGGCCAGACAATGATTTGAAGCCAGCCGCACAGCCTACACCGTAAAAATGACGAGCACTGAGCGGCATTAGTGACCTCACTTAGCTGCCTACAATAGTGGATCCAGGAGCTTGTTCTGAACCTAGTCTGGAAAACAAGTCAGCTTAATTTAAAAATGCCAACTTCGCCCGTCATCGCAAAATGTTCAAACGGCTGCCGTCGTCGGCGCATCTTTGTATAGTATCGTCCACTAATCTGTACTTTGCAATGCTGAAGGTTCGTTGTCTGTTGGCCCCTGGTCCGCAATGCATGACAGCGTTTAAAGATAGCGATAACGAAATCCGCCCCAAATAATAACAGAGTTCCAAAAATACCAAAAAGTCCGTTCCGACAACTCAGTTTTTCCATCTGCTGCCCTCCGATCCACTTACTCGTCGCGGGTTACGTTCGAGCCGCTTTATTCGGTTCGAGCTCCCTATTTGTCTTTTGACATGTATGACCTTCGGGGTCCTTGACATATATGACCTTCGGGTGGTGTGCAGCGGCGGCGCTAAAGGCCCAGTGACGTGAAAGGGTAGGACGGGCTGCGTCGAATACTACAGCACGTTAACCTGGAACTTCACGATCGGATGGCAGGTGTTAGAGCTCCACAAACAAGCACTGCTTAGCGTAGCTGTGATCTTAGAATGCATTTATTTAAAAGGCTTTGACTGCATTTGAGAAATATGTATGCGTTTCTGACCAAGTGTGCATGATATCAGCTTTTGAGTGTAATCCAAAATGCCAAAATCAGGCTCGACTGCTAACTCCTGTTGTCTTCCATAGGGCCTCAGCACGTCGCACGGGGGTGGCACGTACACGCTTGCTTCGCCATGCGCAGAATTGTTAAAAAATGACTGACCTGGTAACTATATTGTTTAAAAATAATGACAGGGACTGCGCCACGTCTTAAGTGGGGTTCGAACTGAGAAACTCTTCTACATAATTGTTCCTCGCAGTTACCTGTCATGTTCTTGTTAAGATGCAAACCCCTCCTTTCCCTGACCTTCATGCACGTGGAGTTGTGCAGCCTATGACGCGCCGCCAATCGAAAACCCACTCAGACATGCATGACGTCATAAACACGTCATACGAGCACCCCGCTTCACTTGCTGTGTTGTGCTTACGTTAAATAAAAATGTGGCCACTTAAAGGGACTGTTCCACATTTAAGGATATTGAGGTAAACATCAGCTATGATGAAGGAAGTCAACTTTAACTATTGGTACGCTGTTAAGTGCAAACAACTGCTCTAAATAACCCAATTTCACTAACTAAATTTGCTTCTCAACATGTAGTCGTCTCATTACGTCATGGAACGTTTTTGTGACATCCTAGCCGCTGCCAGAGTGGCCGCGTTAGAGTGCCCGCTGTAACAGACCTGAACATTACGCACTCTTGGCGTGCAAAACACAGCGGCTTGTACAAATAGCATCAGGGGAGTGTCGTGAATGGGATTCGCATAGTTGGCCTTCCACCCGGTCTGCACACGGCCATGACGTCACTGGTGCCGAGACTTCGTGCGGCGCGGCCTCTAGCCGTGGGGCGCAACGCTGCGGGACAGCCGGAACATCGGAAATGTTCGCACAGATCATGAACAAACTGTCAGCCGGAAATCAATATGACCAGTGAGCCGATCACCTAGAGTTTTATGGCGAGCATGATGGCTTTCTTGGTAATCCCATGCCGCTGGTCATTAAAAGACAGCGATAGAATTATACGAGATAGGACGCCCGGATCATCGGGCTCTCTTAGTATTGAAATTGTACAATATGCTTGCGGCAGGTGCGAATGACCACCGACCCAACCGCAGAGAACTGACCTGCACTGCACGTCCTGTCATGACGGTAAAGCCCTCTGTCGGCACTTGACCTTTCCCGCACCTGCTGCTACCAGCCGCAGTCCATGCCAGCCAAGGCCAAGTAATGAGCGTATGAAACGACTTGGGCCCTCCCCACCACCAGTAGGAGAATCGAAATGTAGGCGCTCGAGCCAACTGCGCTATTGGAAAGCACTGCGGAAGAGAAAGCAAGGGAAATGCCAATTGTTACCTTTGTAGGCAGGATGCCGTACCTGAGGATTGAGGAGAAGACATTGATGCCTCCGGAATAACAAAACGACATAATCAGAATGAAGATAAACAAATTATAACAAAAACATTGTTGTGATGATTATGATGTCTGGCTGTCAGTTGGGAAGGAACTACATGCTAATACTACTCGGACATTTTTGAATATATTGGAGCGATTTTGCGAGTCTAGGACAGTACTATGTGGTCTAAAATAAAGCATAGAAAAACATTATCGACGTACTCAGGTGGCTAAGACTCGCGATGCATCTAAACTGTTAACTCAAGCCAACTAAAATACATCACTGGCCGTGCCAGTGTTGAGTTTCAATCCTACCGAAGTTTTTATAAAGAAATGCATTCAAATATCACAGTGTGGGAGTCCAGTCACGCTTCCCATATGAAACGTAGAGCCAGTTCCAAACACAGGAAGGTGCAAATTTCGTGTTACTTTCTTGTGCCTCTTTCTAAATATGCTGGTCTGTTATTCTTGAGTTGTCTATGTATTGTCCCGAATGATAAAGCTACTGATTTTTTACAGCTGATTTTTCCCCTGCCTTTCCTTGCTCGACCCTATAGCTTAGCTCATTACAGCGCCTGCATTCCTATTCATCTTCTGGTGATGAGAAGGCTTCGAGACTCTTTATCTGTTCATTGTTTGGCCTTTGCTGGCGTGGACTGATGGCCGATAGAGGCAGGTATGGGATATCGGGCGGGTATATTGTATGGGAAAGGCCAGGTAACGTCAGAGGGTTTTATCATCAGGGTAGGACGAGCAGTGCCAAGTGTTGCCGAGCTTTCGACGCAAAATTCTACCACGATTCTACCAAATTCTACCAAATCTACCAATTCTACCAAAATTCTACTTCTTTCAATTCTATTCTATTCTATTCTATTCTAAAATTCTCATTCTAATTCAAAATTCTGGCACGGAGTACGCGATCGAATGATGGCGACACGATCCACGTGACAAGGTTTGGGGATTTATCTCTTAGAAATAAGGGGTACTGGAGTACGAGGGACTTTGTTGTTGCTGTAATTGTATGGCTTACGTTGCTCGGCCTAAAAAACTATCACAGATTCATATCATGCTCTGCGCCCTGGTTAGGCCATTTATGATTGTACCCACCTGTCTATCGCTAAAGATAGCAATGCTTATAAACGTCTTAAGAACGCAACATACGCGATTCGACACTCACGGTGACTGTGCAAACACGCAGGGACCGAGCACTGTCGGCATTGCGCACAGGCACAGCACTAAACGAGGCGACCCCGCAGACAGGTGCAAACTGGGCTTGCCGGAATGTATGCAGCTACGGAGCGAGCAAGACCGGTCTCTCAGACAAGTAGCGACTAAGGAACTAATACTTCGAACTAAGGACGTACACGCAATAGTTCTAGGTAGGTGGAAAGATCCCATGCAAATACAAAATTTCTTCTACCTTACTTAGCCACCTACGAGACAAAAATTTCTGCACAGACCGGCGCTTATGTCGTAAAAATTCCACGAACCAATTCATGTAGAAAGACCTTCGGGGGAGACAAAATGACACCCACTCGAGCGCGTGTTAAGGTTTTGACGGGCATCATCATACCCGCCATTGAATTAAACGCACTCGGTTGTCTGGTGACATATATCTGCCACCAGTAGATAATTCGTCATTGGTACGAAGACAGCCGATGTTCGTGCCATCCTATTGCGAATAAGTTTCGTGTACACGTCTTCGCTTTTCGTACCATTGTATTTTAATAGTTTATCGTATATGCCTGCAAACAGCATCATAAGGTTCTCTATAAAATTATGCGTAATCGGATCGCCAGCTATAGGCGCATTCCGACAACAGCTTTTCCATTATCTGTGCGAATGTTTCGATGTTGCGGCTGCCCTTCAGCGTTGCGTCGGGCGGCTAGCGGCCTGTCGCGCATTGAAGTCTCGATGCTGGTGACGTCACGCTAGCGTTAAACGAAGATGAAGCGAGAATCACCAGATGGTTTTACCTCTCTTTTCTGACCTTGGTTAAAACCGGTCTCTCCGATTAAGACCGAGGGTGTTTGACAGCATTCCTCAAATGTCGTTGCGCATTACCCGCAAGCTGACCTCGGTTGCCGACGCACATTCGTCCCATATGACTCCGCTGCTGCGTTGCTTCAGTCTGGT